ATCTATCTATCTATCTATCTATCTATCTATCTATCTATCTATCTATCATTTCACCCCCTTAGAAACTAAAATGTTTAAATATTCAGTGGATCATTTCCTTTACTTTGTGTGCTTTTTAAATGTTTGGGTGTATAAAACAAATAACATTTTACATATAGAGGATGTGGATGGCTCAGTTTTCCTTGTATTTAGAATATCTAGAGTGAGAGCAGGAGGTTATTTGAAGACCAGTGTTTTTGCACCTCTGAAAAAAATCAGCTGTAATGTTTTTCCAGTTTGTTCCATGTAGCCAAACTCTGAAGAATCTGGTGCAGCAGGGGACTCACAGACCTGTTTAAGGCTGAATATTGATCTGATTTGCAATTTCACATATATGTCATTGTGTGTTCTCTCTCAGAGGGCCGTGAGTGTGTGAACTGTGGTGCCACCTCGACGCCTCTGTGGAGACGGGACAGCACTGGACACTACCTCTGCAACGCCTGTGGCCTGTACCACAAGATGAACGGCCAGAACAGACCACTCATCAAGCCCAAACGCAGGCTGGTAAGTCCCAGAGCTCGGATCTCCTTTTACGGAGGTTAACGGCCGTGTGTGCTGTGGAGGTAGTAAATAAAAAGAGTGTAAGGTGAAGGGTGAGGGGGTGGAGGTACAATTCCAGGAAAGTTATATTTTCCCAATCGGTTTCCAGGAATTGTGTTTCCCGCTCACCTCTTGCTCCTTCAGCTCAGACTGTTTGCAGAATCAGGCCATCTCTGCTGTTGCTGTTATCATTATTAGAGCTACTTGTGATGCTGTCATTGATAGCAGGGCCACCGTGACATCTGAAACAACACGCTTCACACTGACACCTCGGGCACCACAGTGCTGCCCCGTTCTGTGCTGATTTTTTTGTTGTTTCATCATGTATACAACATGCTTGGGTTTGTTTAGATATTTGACATCTGAGTACCAGATTGTGGAGGACAGTGTGTCTGTGATTTTTTTTTAGAAGCTGAGGGAACAGCTTTTCCGGTCACCTTTTCTTCCTCTTAGAAATATACAAACTATTAAAATCTGGTGTTATTTTGTCAAATGGAGCAATACAGCTCAAAGGTGGTTGTTTTGTTTTTTAATCATCATAAGAAAAGCTGATATTGTGATGATGCATGTTTTTAGAGAATCACTGAAAAAAAGAGAAACAGAAAATGTATATTTTCAATCATGAACTGCATCAAACCCTAGTTATGCAGCTTGGAATTAGGCCAGAAGTCAACTGTTAAAATGCATTTATCCAATGTTCACTGTCACGAAAACCTTTTTTTCATGATATACTGCCAATTTCAAGCTACAGGAATACTGCTTTAGAATCTTCCGAATTAAGCCCTTTTAAAAACTTTAGTAAATATCCAATTTCAACAACGAAGCCTTGCTGCAAACTGAGGGAATATCTCTACCTTATTATAAACCACAGCAGACATTTGTCTGTTTGAGGATTCAACAGGCACTGCATGCTCGTTTTTACATTTTTAACATTAACAGTTTTATATTATGAAGAGTACTCGATGAAATCATACCTGAGAATAATTTGCTCAAATGAATTTTAGAAATAAGAAATTACATTTCTTCCACTACAAGCGCAAAACAAATGCACTGTTAAAATATATTTATCAGAGCAAAACTTTGTAAGAAGACTAAAGGCAATTATTATTCTGTTTTAAGTTATTTGTGAAGTAATCGTTTATATTTAAAAAAAAAAACGCGCGCACACATGCGTTTCCTCCATAAATAACGTCAATATAAACACCGTAACACCAGCAGGAAAACAACTGTCTGATTCATACAAATCATAAGAGCACGTCCCCCGTGCAAATTAACGCGGCGTAAAAATGCATAAAGGGTTATATATCAGGTCTGGTTTCCGTGCACCTCGGTCGGGGCTCTCAGCGCTGCGCAGCGTCTTGCGCGCAGCGGCAGCAGCCTTCCAGTTGTTTCCTCTCCGGATGTCTGACCGCTCCAGATAAAGCAACAGGGCCAGCGCGCCTGCTTCCTCCTGCGGCCTTCTCTAACCATAGGCCCAGACTTCACTTTCTAGTGGTCAAGCATTCCGTCTACCACAAACACAGAACACCACAGAGCGTTTTAAAAAAAGACTAATCGGACAGCCAGAAAAGCTGAAGCATGCCACTATGCAACATGGGCAACCATTACTCCACTTTCCCTGTGTTCTAGGGGAAAGAAAATCTACATAAGCGATGAAATACTAAGAAAATTACCATACAGGGTATCGATTTCACGTTTATTAAGATTACACAATTGCTGGAACATGTTTTACTGTTCATGCAGGTTATTGTTTTAATTTCATGCTCCGGAAAACGGGCTAAATGAGTTAAGAGCATGAAACAATCCCACTTCAAGTAACTACAAGGGGCAGGAGGGTGCCAGAATCTCTGCACCTTTTTTTACTTTCATAAACTAATAAAGATGAATACTTGATATTTGTTATATGTGAATCATTATTTAAAACCTTCTTAATACTTCTGAGCAAACACCTTTCTGTGGGGAAGAAATAACATGACTAGATTGTCCAGAGTTACAGTCAGTTTTTAAAAACATGAAAAGAATCGGGAATGTTTGATGAACCTTTTTGCACAGGTTTTTAACTTTCAGTGGTATTTTTTTTATATTTAGTAAAGACAGTCGGTTGCATTAATTTATCACTTCAACCAGTTGAGTGGAAAATTCTAATTGATCATGTCATATTCTGAGAATAGCTATTGAACCAGTCCCCAAACTGTTTTTTGGCCAATCCGATTGTGATGCTCAGCCCTAATCAAAGCTTAATCTTTATTGTTCCACAGTCTGCTGCCAGACGAGCTGGCACCTGTTGTGCGAACTGTCAGACTACCACCACCACACTCTGGAGGCGCAATGCAAATGGGGACCCTGTGTGCAACGCCTGCGGCCTCTACTATAAACTGCACAACGTAAGTCTCTGACTGTCGACCCACATTTAGGGCCCAGCGTATGGCCGATCAGACAGGAGGGGAACCGGCCGGTTACTGAGCATTGAGAGATACAGGAAAAGAGGAGAGGGTGAAAGGAGGAGAAATGAGTATTTCTTTTCGCCGACACTGTGGCACGCGGTGTTTTCTTTCTTTGTGCGTTCATTGTTTCCATGGCAGGAGTAATTCCCTTGAGGGTCACAATGGTAGGACTGTTGAGTGGGTCGACCTCAAGGCCAGCCTCCATATGATTTGTATTAAAGCTGCATGGCCATTAAAATAAACTGTAAAGGCACTGCAAGTCAACATTTGTAGAAGCAGCAATTCATTTATTTAAATTCATAAATATTCCACGTGAACCTGAAGCCTGAAGTCTCTGTGGTACAACAGAGCAACGTTATTCTTGAAAATACACAAACACATTGTTCCAGGTTGAAACAGCTTCTGTGGTCCCTGTAAAATGCCAGACAACAGAACACCTTTCAAAGATGTCTTCACCACTGTTCAAAGTATTTAATTTTCGAGGGTGGGACACTTAGCCCCACCCATCCATCTCTCCCACAGGCCTTGAATGTTGACAAAGTTACATTCAGTAATGCTAATGCTGGTCTCCTCTTCAGAGGGGAAATCTACCAACCATGACAGCTCACATTTAGGCACAAACAAACAAACAACAAACACACATGGGGGGGCTTTATTTTTTCTGAAATACTCACATTTACCTCATCTGTTGTTTAGCAATGAAAAGTTAGTACTGATCCCTCTATCAAGCAAAACATTATAAACTATAGTTGTCTTATAGACAGGAACACCTATGTAACTTGTAAATATCTGGGTTTTGATGTTGGTCCATTTTCTGTGTGTGTCTATGTATTTTCTTTCCTCGATTATTGATGTGGAGTTCTATGTAACAAACCTCTGCCCTTTATATAGTATATCAGAAATGAATATTCATGCTTCTATGCAGTTGAACCGAGTGACATGCTTGTTCGTGATTTATTGAAAAAATCATACATCATTTCGACTGTTCCTTGTCTGGTGGTAATTCCAATTGGTTATAAATGGCCCAACAAAAAAAACCCACCAGTTCGCTGCTTAAATTTCTAATCAATCTCAAAGTTGAGCTTAAAACTTTCTAGTCCCATTGGTAAATATGGTTGAAATGTACACTGTTAAAGAGGCAACCAGTAAATTAGGGACCAGATGTAGATTACTTGAATTTAAATGAGTGCCTATCTTAAAAAATGACAGCACTGTTGCACTGCTAATTTGTTTGGTCAGATACCACCATGTCTTTGTTTTAATTTGTCAAATATCATCATTTGGAGTGAACTGAATCGTGCCTCCAAACAACATCACTCACCTCCTCATCTATCTTTCGCCACACAGGTCAACCGGCCTCTTACCATGAAAAAGGAGGGAATACAGACACGCAACAGGAAGATGTCCAACAAATCCAAGAAGAGCAAGCGGTGCAGCGATAGCTACGAAGAGTTTTCCAAAAGTCTGCATGACAAGGGCTCTCCCTTCAGCGCCGCCTCGCTGGCCGGTCACATGTCCATGGGTCACTTGCCGCCCTTCAGCCACGCCGGACACATGCTCCCCACACCCACGCCGATACACCCGTCATTCGGCCACCCGCACCATTCTAACATGGTGACGGCGATGGGCTGAAAAGGAGACGAGTTGGAGAGGAGGCATAGATTCAAAGGTCCTTAGATGATTGTATGAAAGGGATTGAAGGTCTAAGCCAAGGACAGTGTGTACAGTGTTACGGGCATGCAGCATGCGTGTCTTCATCTTGATTGTCTCTTGATTGATTATGCCTGCGGTGGGTTGTGGGAAGAACGGACATTTTACTACTTATCCATAGGTACCAAATTTGACGGCATAACATTGGGTTTCCTGTTAACCAGGCATTAAAAGAAAGAAAAAAGTATTTTCACCTCCCAGTTTCACTGCACTGACAGTGTGGGTGAACTAAACGCGCTTATGGTCACTGTAAATACTGTAAATGTGTGAGAGTGGAAGTGGACTGTCCCACAGAAAAATGCCCGTCACTACTAAAAATATGCTGGGTTTTTTGCTCCTGGACAATTTTAAAGCAATTTTCCACAGGGGGAAAAAAAAGCAAAGAAAGGTTTATGAATTCTTATTTGACACTGTTTATTATAATTATTGTTATTATAATTAATATTGTTATTCAGATAATTTATTTTCACAATTGTTTTTTTCTTTGATGATATTACCTGATTCATAATATGGATGCTGTTATCCCAGTTATGAATATATTTTTAGCTGAATCGCTTTGTCTGAGCTGGTCAACATTTATACTCTAATGAAATAAAGAGATCAAGTTCAATATCCAATCTGTTCTGTGTATTCAGTATCAGTTATGTACTGTAGATCATTCTAATAGGTAAAAACAGAGGCCCTAACACCTATGATTCAACTAATAGGATGACTCAGAAACGACGGAGCCAAAACGGGAATTCTCTACTGATTTTGGCAACACAAATCAAAGAAACAGAAAATTATTTACTTTTATGTGAAATTCTAAACTCATGAAAAGCATGGGAAAATCAGGAAGATCACATGATTTGATGTCCAATGACAGCATCATAGATTACAATTTATCCATATGTTAACCAATTTGCATTCTCCTATTCATAATCTCTCGTTCATCTACCATGTCAATGTCCTGCTGAAGTATGAGAGCACCTGCCATCTGTTAGCCATAAAAACTGTGATTTCAACAATAAGCACCCACTTAAGCTGAGAAAATGTATGTCCCTTCCAATCTAAGTATCAATCCATTTTCCATACTGCTTACTCCCAGTGGGGTCGCGGGGGACCGGACCCTTTCCCAGCGGACAGTGGGCAAGAGAGGTGGGGTACACCCCGAACAGGTCGCCAGTCCATCACAGGGCCACACAGAGACAATCAACCACACACACACATTGACTCCCGGGGAATTTAAAGAGTCCAATTAACACAACATTCATGTTTTTGGATGCCGTCGGAGTTCCCAGAGAGAATCCACGCAGACACAGGGAGAACGTACAAACTCTACACAGAAAGGTCCTGGGACTGGAACTGGGGGTCCTCTCACTGGGCCAACCACCACAGCACTGTGCCGCCCTCCAATCTGAACATCTATCCATCCATCCATCCATTTTCGTAACCGCCCGTTCCTTAATGGGGTCGCGGGGGTGGGGGCGAGAGGCGGGGATACACCTTGGACGGTCCACCAGTCCATCGTAGGGGAATCTGAACATGTGAGGATAAATGATCTAATAATAATAAAAAACTAAAATATGAAAAGGTTGTTGCCTATGCTGAAGACGGAGGGTACAGAGCTGCATGATTGTGAACATCTTTAAGAAAAAAAGTATGTATTACTAAGTCAAACACAAATAATGGCAAAAACCAATATAACGAAAAGATTATTCTAAATTTAAGATTTCAAGTACACAGAAACACAACTCAAAATAAATTAAGATTGCTGTGTTTACTACTGCATCACAAAGAGGTTTTCATCATTAACTTTGAAGAGGATTATTTAGCAATGTTTTGCTGACCTCTTTGAAGGAAACATCATTGTCAGGTCATTCTGTAACACATCCACCCACTGACCTGCTTGGTTTTGTAACGTATCTCATTTATTACACAAGACAAGTGCCTTGATTAGCTGTCTATAAAACAGGATCAGTGCATTCAAGTTACTCCTCCAACCTTTGCTGATATGAACCACCACTTTCTAATAAACTGGTTCTTTCTCCTTGCAGCAGAGATTAGTGCTGCTGACAGAAATTGAGCAGGATGAGCCATATGTTCCCCCAGTTACTTAACCATTCACATCTGCTCATTGGATAACACTCTTATGACACGGGCTTTTTCATCCCTGGTTTAATACACGAGGTAAATGCAACACTGACCAAAACATTTTCAAATTTGTACATAATTGTTGAACTAATTTAATGTGGCTTTGGATCAGTGGAAACTAAAGTGATTTTATGTCCTCTGTAAAGAGCTTTAACAATCTAATCCATATCATATTGTATTGTGTTAAAAATAAAAAATGGTGTTATGTGGAGGTGATAATAAAAACCTATGACATAATTTGGTTTTCCAGACACAAATTTGAATTCAGTCAGACAGATCTCATACATACAATAATTATATCTCCTAATATGCTTTGAAACAATAAGATAATTATACAATAAGATATTGAATTCTTTCTACTTTTTCTTGAATCAGGCTTTAAAGGGTTAAGGGTCAATTCAAGTGCAGCCAGGAGGCTCCTCTTAAGACTTTGCTGACCCTTCACCACACAGGCACTTACTGTGTCATTCTTCCAAGGCCTCCAAAATACTCACTCAAAAAGCCTTTTAAAATGTCACCTCATCCCTAAAAATATGACTTTGGACTTTCCCTGTGAAGAGCAGATGAAAAGCAACTAGGTGGCAAGAGCCACTTTACAAGGTCCAGAGACCTTTGTAGAGCAAGAATTTGAGACAGGGTGGTCATACTAAATCAGCACGCAAATTAATCTTATGACCTCCTTTGGATGTCAGCAGCTCCTTAGCTGATTTGTTTTTATACTAAATTCAATTACAAGAATCAAAAACAAGGACAGAGGTGACTTTAAAGGGTTGGGTTTACTGCCAGATGGTGATAAAGACGATAAAAGAGGATGGGAGCAAAGTTTTATCCAGTGACGAGAACTAATAAAATGAATGAGTTTCTGCCAGAAGATTGAGAAAACAGCCCATCCACATTTTGCACAGATCCTCAGATAGTGATGACAAGATTGTTACTTAAAAAAAAACTCCACTGCCCATGAAGAGAATTTCCAGAAAGAGTAAAACAATGTGCATTAAGTAATTCTTAAAAGTTTAATTATGTATGTATGCATACAGAGGCTCTAACTGACAGTTGCCCCCCAATTTAAATTGGACCTAATGATATCAACCAGTAGTACAAATATTCAAGCTGATTCACATGGCATAGACACACTGGTCATGTCCAAACTATTGATTAATATGACTTGAAAGAAGTCTTGTGCTTATAAGTTGTGACATTTCCCTGAGGTCTGCATTGTTCAAAGTATTGCACTGCTTTACAAAAAAATGTTTTAAACTAACATTTTTGAGCATAGAACAATTTCAGCCAGTTGTCTCTTCATTGAGATCTGCAGGTTCAAGAGATCATTAAAAGATTAAGTTGACACAAATTCCACTCACTAACTATTGAAGAACAGTAGAATAAAATTCCCATAATGCTAATACTTCCACTCACATTTGATATTCAATGGAAATTGTGATTCATAACCTGCAATAACAGATTTCATTGCACTGACGAGGGTTTCTCCAAATTATTGGAGTTAGAAAAATAATCTTACTTTTCTTCACAGAGAAACAGATGACAAAGGTGACAGAGAACGTTATCAGCCAGCCTCATCATATACTTGTCTCATGAGTTTCCAGTGATATGTCAGACTTTATATACTCCTGAGAAGAACCGACCAATACTCCAAATATTTTATTCCATTTGCTATCAGGTTATTAAACACATATAGAATTAAAAATGTTCTCCTGCATGAAAACACACCTGATGACACTCTATTTTTATCGATTCAATCTTATGGTAATTAGGTTATGTTCTGATACAATACTATTCTGATGCTGTTGAATAGCCATTCATGGAATCATTTAAGTTTTTCTTTGCTTTTGTAAAAGTTATTCTGCATATGCAAAAATGAAAAATCAAAATCAACATCAGATTTCAACAATGTCCTTGTGTGTGCTAAACGCAGATGCGGTCAACAGGAGAATAAAATAGTGATGTTCTGCACATTTTCTCAGATGTAAGTATGTGGTCGAGCTCAGCTACTGTTGTATCTTCCATCAAGGTAAGCATGTTGCTGTCAAATTCCATACAGCTGGAGACCTCAAATATGCAGGCACCACTTTGTACCATTATACAGATTCTGTAAATGTCCTATTGTATACATTTTTTAAACAGGAAAAAGGAAACAGGAAGGGGCTGACTTAAATGCAAAATGATGGCAAAATCACAGAGGTGGCACCTTCTAACCATCCTGGAGGCAAGAGAGAACAACTGGAAACACACACTCATGTACACTCTCTGACACTCCTGATACAGACACACAATTTGAGTGTAGACTGGGCTCTTCAGAAAAGGTAGAACATGCTGACACACAGCGCTCTCTCTCTGAAAAGTGGGACAACCTCCAACCACCCGATCCACAACCACTGACAAGTTCCTTTCAAACTGCTTTTCTTCTCCTGTCTGAAGCAGACAAATTCATCCCTCTTGTCCCTGAACAATCAACTCTTTTCTTCGGCCTATTGCACCAATGAAAGGAGGAGGGAGGATCCACTAGAGAGGAGAGAAAATTACATCTGCCTGACAGTGCAAGACTGTAGGCACTGGGCTAATGTACTGTGTGTTAGGGCCCCTGGGACTGGGCGTCTGGGCCCCACTATCTTATGACAAAATTGACAAAAAGCCCAGGGCTCAGCCCTCAGGAAATCTGAGAGGTGGGATATCTAGGCCGGGAGGAGAGGACAGAGAGAAGGACGGACAAAATAACTCAGGTACGTTGCACTCTCCGTGGCCTATATGTGTTAAGCTTGATATAAGTGAACTAGTTCATACCATAGATTAAAAGTCAAGTATTTTTCTCCATTGGCACTGACCACAAAGAAATACACAATCACATCGGAACTGTAGAAGTCAGGACTTCAACCAAATTTAGAAAGTTAAAGAGTTTAACATTTCTACGACAATATCTGGAATTGGCCACACTTAAATATACACACTTTCTAGGAAACTCACCTGTGCTCATCAATGTAATCACTGTTGTGTTGGGGATGTGCAGTGCTAACCCTTTTGATAAATTACCTTAAAAACCTTCATCTTTATTCTGCAAGTACGCAGATAACCACTTTATAAGCAGTCTAATATATGTCATTGGCAGGTTTCTTTTGTTTCATTTGCAGACTGTGTGGATTCCTTCATTTTCTGAATCAGCAAAAAAAATAGGGATTTGCAAAAGGGACCAATGCAAACCCTAGGTAGTTGCTTTAGGTGAAACTACATGGAAGAGTAAACACCAACAGAAAGTAAAATTGAAGTGAGGGAGCCAAATGCAGGTCTCACACATGATGACATACCCGGGCAGTTTATCAACGTCTTTGTTAGATACAAAAAGAACATCATATTTGAACATGGAAGCCTACCATTCTATCACCATTTCCCCCCTTGTCAATTAATTAGTACCTTTAAATATCCTTTGTGTGCTTTGTCACAATCAATCACTTTTTACAAGCAGCTTTCAT